GGGGGGGGGGGGTCCGTGGGTTTGCGGCAGAGCCACCGAGACAGCAGTAGTAAACATAGCATAGTGAAAGTCATTAATCGCGTGCGACCTCTCCGCTGTCCTTTGTCTAAGACGCTGCCTGACGTCAACGACCTAATCGGCAGGGACGTGCCGACAACTCTGAGCCCGGCCGGTTCGTGCTGGTGCTCCGCTCTGCCGTGTGCCACCTCGGGGGCGAGAGCGTGAGCAAGGGCCACTACGTCGCCTACGCCGCCGACAGAGTCGCGGCCGGCGACGGCGGCCGGAAGAAGAAGGGTGAAGCCGGTGGCGCCCACGCTGCCAAAGCCGGCGAATGGTGAGCCAGCCAGCCTACGGTGGCTGTGTGCATTATATGCTGTGTGCTGTGGGAGGATTGAATTGAATCCCCTGTTGGTTGATTGCTCGCACGGTTCTGTTGTGTTTTGATGATTGATCTGGGGCTTTGAGCCTGTTGATCACTCAGCAAATAGCCGCCCTCCCCCACACCGTGGTCAATANTTGCTCGCACGGTTCTGTTGTGTTTTGATGATTGATCTGGGGCTTTGAGCCTGTTGATCACTCAGCAAATAGCCGCCCTCCCCCACACCGTGGGCAATAGTCTAACCGCCAAGGCCTGCAAAAGACAAAGTTTACCCCCCCCCCCCCACCGTGGTAGCCCCTTTCTCACGGCCAGCATCCCCACGGGCCCCCCGTGTTGCAAAATAATACTCGAAACAAAAACAGGGGTTCGAAGTCGACGGGGTGGGCATCGGGAGGAGGGCAGTCGAGCCTAGGGGCTGACGATGGTGACAGCAGCCAAGACAGCGTGGCGTGGCTGCGTCTGGACGATCTGCACGAAGGGCCGGGGGGGCGGGGTTACGTGGAGAAGTTGGACAGCGTTCACGAGGCAAACCGTCTCTTCAGGTGCGTCGTCGTCGTCGTTGTTGTTGTTGTTGTTGTTGTTGTTGTTGTTGTTGTTGTTGTTGTTGGTGTTGGTGTTGGTGTATTTCTCTCTCTTTCTCTGATATTCTGGAGCTGCTACGCGAAGAGCAAACTTGAAGAGAGCAAACTTCAACTTTCCTACCACATGTACAGAGCGTCTGTTGCAGTATCCCCCCATTGCAGACTCCGGAACCCGTTTGATTTTGATAACATGCCCGTGTCTGTCGATTGTTGCTTGTATGGGCGTGTGGCTAGAGTCTTCCACAACCTCATCCCCTAGCCGGACTACTGTACTTATTGAGGTAAAAAAACAACACGCGCCCTGGGACTCACAAGGGTCTTTCTATTTATTTTAACTTCGCGAAGGCGTTGCAGTGACATCAGATCAACTGTGCCCCCTCCCCCCGGACGGCTCTCGACTTTTTCCAAGCCTTGTCTTTGTTTCCGTTGTGTTTTCTTCGGTGGTGGTGCTCATGCTTCCCGTGCACGCACTTCTTCTATCGTGCTAACTTGACTGCGGCTCTCGTCCGGTCTGTTTCATTTTGTTTTTCACGGCGGCGTTGGCCGTGCGCTACTAATAATCGACAAAAATCGGCGCTTCTTGGCAGCGAGGACCTCGGACTGCACAGCTACATGCTCTTCTACGAGGTAGTATGGCATTTCGAGGCGATGCAATCAATATCATGTTTCCTTGTGCGCTCGTTGTGCCGGGTGGTTGGGTTGTGGCCGTTGCTTTTGTTGTCGTTGTTGCTGATGGTGATGGTCATGATGTTGATACCCGTCGTTCAGTATCAGTCAACGCCAACCCAGTACCCGGCCCCTGGCTCTAGAGAAAGGTGCGCTTTAGATGCTAGCGGACGTTTCTGTAGTAAGGTGCACCCCCCGAACAACAAACCGGCCACGTGCTTGCTAGGGCGTACGGTGATAATCTATGTTACCCCAGAAAACAATACTTGGAAGAGCTTTTGTTGTGTAGTTTTTTCTCATCCCACCCTCCTGTGTGCTGGTTGTTTGGTGCTATCTATAGTCTAACAGTGCAATGCTGCGGTGTCGTGTGCAGTCCGACGTGAACTAAACGGACCACTCATGCGTGTTTGTGTATCCTTCGACCCTCGTTGGCGTTGTTCGACAAACAACATGTGCTATTACACAGTTGGTGCCACTCAACCTGGACGATGCCGGGAAAGCTCAGGTGCGCCAGATAGTTGCTATTTGAGCTGCTGCTGTTGGTTATTGTTATTGTTGTTGTTGTTGTTGTTGTTGTTGGATAACGTAGCTATGGTGCTGTCAGTGGCGGTAGTGGTGATGGAGTTACCGTTGCCTTGCGTATCAGGAACGTATTAGGAACGTGTGGTCTGTCCGAAACGTTGTCGTCCTTGTCAGGTTGTTTATCGTCGGATTCTTCGCCGCAAGACCGGAACGGCTTTTAATGTGAAGACAACAACAACAACAACAACAACAATGCTCGGGGTTTTCTGCAGCACTACGCATACAACGCTCCAGCAGACTTGGCGCGCGCGCGTCCAATTTTGATTGTTCTGGTTGTAGAAAATAACCCCAACGCCTTTTCCCTCCCCGCCCTCGTGTCCTTGACACGCATTGTCCGTCACAGATGAAGGAGAAGCTTGCTCTCATGGAGACGCAGGGTGACTACGAGCTAGCTCTGCAGCTCGACCTTATGGAGCGCGCGCACACGGATGAGAGGGGCTGGTCGCAGGGCGGGGGCGGCGGGAGCGGCGCTGTAGTCATTACACCGATATGCCCCGTGTCCTGATGATTTGCTCTATTCCGAGATGTGTCTTGATGTAGCAGACGGGCGGCTGTAACGCCGATACGTCCCGTGTCTTGATGGTTGCTCAGTCCCATAATGTGTTTACCTAGCAAAAGGTTCTCGACGAGCTGCGGGCGAGAAACAAGAGGCACTGGGGGGGGGTGGGGGGGGTGCTCACGCAAACGCAGGCCGTAGTCGTAAGACCTACATTGACGGGACGGAGAGATGCCGGGTTTTCGCCGGCCCAGGCTACCTTTCGCAAGGATGACACAAATGCTGGCCATCATTGTTGCATTTGCTGTGCCACGCTAGATAAGCCATGGGTCGATTGGGCATCCCGGCTACAAGCAACCAAACGTTGCAATAACGTTGCAGGCACGAACATTCTTCAAGTACCCCCAAGGGGGGGGGGG